GACAATAGAAGTTTCCATGCATATCTTTCTAATAAACTGTCTATTCCTTCCTGAGTTTATTAGTATGTTATAAATATTTTTATTTAATATTACATCTGCTAATGTTTGCAATATTTGCCAATTGAAGCGGTAGATTTACGGAATGCTACAATTCCCAGGCGCAGCAAGAATGTCTGTTTGACATGTGAGAATCCGGATGTGTTTTCAAGTTATTGTACCGAGTTGGTCGGTTATGGGTGTGCCTATGTGTCTCTTGTTCTAAATATCTAAAGCAGAAGAGCATTTATGCGTCGAGGTTTCGTCATCGTGTCGGTCAGCTGGGAGATAATATCCTCCACGAGGCAGATGTCTCCCCAAAGTGTGATTCCTAGGTCGTAATTTCGTGGAGGAGAGTGGCAAAGAGGGGCACAAATGTGTGAATTGCGGGTCAAAAAGCGAGTCGGCTGGCTGTACCACTCACATCCTTGGCTGGGGGAGGCAGAGCGGCCGTCTTGTCGGTCGTCGGGGCAGCGACAGGCATGAGGATAGGCAGGATTGGTACCGCGCCCTTGGGCAGGTTCTGCAGCGCGGCCGACTGAACTCGGTGTACGTCCAACTGTTGGCTCATCCTCGTGATGAATCCACTCGCCCGGCTGCCACGTCTTGTCTCGTCGGCTCCGTCCGCCTTCTCGCCCATCGGCCCTGCCGGCCAACCGGAGGACAACGTCTCGGCCTCGGGACCCACCGTCGCCGTCGCCGTCGCCGTCGCCGTCGTGGGTGACCAACAAACCCGCATTCGCGAAGAAGGCTCGACTGGCCGGAGAGGCGACGAAGTCCGCGACTGTGTTTAAGGCGAAAACAGGACGAAAGAGAAGACGATCTGTCAGAAGCGGACAGGTCAAGTGAGAGCAAAACAGGACAAGACAAGACGGAGGAGTCAAGGGCTGGCTGAATGTCTACTCGCCTGTGGTGTCGTCTTCAGTCGTCATGGGGAAATGAAAATCATGACAATGTAGCCGTGCCCTTTTGCTCTAAAGCCTCGTTTTAACCTTGTTTTTGCAACTTGGCCCAATAAAGACAGAGACATCTTTGATCCTTTGTACATTTGTAGTCGACATTGTCAATAATGGGCACAACACATCAAAGTGGCAAGGAAAGACAAACTGGACAACAGACCTGAGACTCTGCAGATTCATAAACCCACGAAGAATGGAAGTGCCCGAATTAAGTGAACTCGCAG